AGTAATCCTGGGACCTCCCAATTCTTCCTTCAAGTCCCACCTAAAATCCCGCCTTCTATAGAAAGCCTTTGCCTGCTTCCCCTGAGTGCAAATGCCTTCCCTTTACTGATGAGTTCCAATTTACTGTGTGTGTCTCATCTGTACACAATGGTTTGCATGTTATCTCTAGGATTAGACCGAGCTCCTCGTCTCTGGAATTTTTTTTTCTATATCCCTAGCACTTAGCACAGTGCCTGACACTGGTTAAATACTTGTTGACTGACTGACTGACATTTTAGTCCAAAGTTCAATATTCCCAAGGAAAATGTCTGCCCCCAAGTGAAATGTCATTCCTCCACCTTGAACGCCATCCACTCCAACCCAAGAAGCAATCTGGAGCAGGACCCATGGCAGCAGATAATCCCTAAACTAGATAAACAGGCCTTGCAAATCACTGAGTTGGCAGTCTGGTTTATTTATTCAATTCGGGCTTTCACTGCCTATTTCAATCTATTTGTTATTCTTGAATCTATGCCTTGAGCTTGTTTAATTATGCACAACAACCCAATGGAAGCAGCCCTGAGCATAGAACACTATTTCTTATTTGCTTACTCCCAATGATCTTTGTTTTAACCCCAGGGGCTGTCTCTCCTCATCTTTTTCAACAATTTCATGAGTAAAATGGTCATTGCCTTCTTCATCCCCCAGTGCTAGCCTTGTGGTCATGAGTTTCTTTGTTCATAGTTGGGCAGGTCCTCAGACTACAGGCATGCTGTCCATCTCTGGAGCAGTAATTGAACCTTTTTTCCACTGGGCAGGACCTGCTAGAGCTTTTCCTCTATTAATCTAGCCCATGAGAGCCCAGGGTCACCATCAGGGTCCAATAAGACTCAAATATATAAATCTCATTGACATGAGTGTTTCCTCAAACCATGCAGACAAAGCTCCAGCCAGGCATGAGTTCACCACAGAGAAGTCACCCAACATACTGAGGTCTTCTTTGGTTTCTCTTGACATGGGGAGGGGGAGGGTTACCAATGATGCTATCTGCTGCTTACCCTTGGCTATCACTGTGTGATGGAGTCCTCTTCCTTTTCACTCGTACATTTCTTTGCTGACATCCATTATACAACTTTGTCAAATGTTCTTGTTTGAAATGTGTTTTAGACTCTCCATGCCCACCATATACCTCTCCATTGTCCTTGGAATGAAACTTGATTTTTTGGAATCTATAGTATTCCCTGACTCAAAGTCATGCAATAACACTGGAAGGGTCTTTGTATTAAAAATGTGAGCTGCTTCAAGAAGTTTGGGATCATGATAATAATAATCACAATAATAAAAATTGTTACCATTTACATAAAAGGCAGCTAGGTGTCACAATGTATAGAGCACTAGGCCTGGAGTTAGGAAGACTTATCTTCCTGAGTTCAAATTAGCTACGTGACCCTGGGCACTTGAGTCATTTAACCCTGTTTGCCTCAGTTTCCTCATCTGTAAAATGAGCTGGAAAAGGAAATGACAAACCACTCCAGTATCTTTGCCAAGAAAACCCCAAACGGGGTCATGAAGAGTTGCCTACAACAGATACGACTGAACAACACATTTATGTGTATGGCACTTTGATACATTAATTATCTCAATTAGTCCTCTTATCAACTCATAAAGTAAGTGTTAGAATTTTCCCATTTCACAAGTGAAGAAAATCAAAGCTTTATGTGACTATTTCATGAATTTTCATGCTTAAATTTCTTCAGGGTGACTTTGCTTGATTGAGTCTCTTTCCAAGGATTCCACAAATGTGTGTATACCAAGACAAGGGAATCCCTTGGCTGCTACATCCCTCTGTTAGGCTCATGCTTTGGCAAATAGCCCAGGGTTCCCCCAGCCTGCATTATTCCTTCCCTTCCAAGTTCCTTTTCTGGCCACTCACAGCTTCTTAGGGCTTGCCTTGCCCAACTCCTCCCTCTGCCTCATGCCTTCCTCTCTCCTAACCCCATATCAAATCAGTTATCAAGTCACGTTATCTTTACCTTCACAATTTTTCTCATAAGTACTTCCTTCTCTCCTCTGGTGCCCCCATCCTGGTATAGGACCTGATCACCTCATACCTGGACTATTGCCATAGCTGCTGGTGGGTCTGCCTGCCTCAATTCTCTCCCTCCTCCAGTTCCACCTCCATTCTGCTGTCAAAGTGATCTTCCTAAAGCACAATTTTGACCATTTCACACACCCCACCATCATTCAGTAAGCTCTAGTGACTCTGTCACTTGCAGGATCAAATATCACAAATTCCTTCATTTCTCTTTTAAGCCCTGCACACCGCGGCCACTCCTTCTCTTTTCCAGTCTTCTGACACCTTGCTCCCTCTGTGTACTCTTTGATCCAGTGAGATTGGCCTTTAGTTGTTCCCAGAATGCAGCATTCCATCATCCAGTTCTGCGTCTTTTAAGGAGCCACCCCCCATGCCTGGAATGTTCTCCCTCCTCATTTCCATTTCCTGACTTCCCTGGCTTCCTCCAAGTCCCAGCTAAAGTTCCACTTTCTGCAACAAGCTTTTCCCTGTCCTCCTTCATTTCGCTGCATTTTTTCTGAGACAACCTTCAGTTTATCCTGTTCATATACTGTTTGTACATAATTGTTTACGTGTTGCCTTGCCATTAGACTATGAGCTCCCTGATGGCAGCCACTGTCTTTTGTCTCTTCTTTGTATCCCCAGTGCTTTGCATAGTTATCAGACAACAGTAAGCCCTCAACAAATGCTGTTTGGCTGGCCCACTCATTGAGGAGGCTCTGCCATGTTTCAGGGTTCAATGCCATCAGTCTAATGCCATCCACACAGGAGCACCAAAGAGACCTCACCCTCCATGGATAATCCCTCCTTAACTTGCACTGCCTTGGATTTCCTTCTTAACTGTGGCAAACATGTCTGGCAAAGTTTTATGCCTTGTCTGAGGTCAAACATTGGGGAGGGGGGAGGGTATCAAACAAGATTATTTCCATTGTTTTATCTTTCAAAGAATCTTGTTGAACGTTCTATCTGGAAGGGAAACACCTTGTTGGGCAAAGTCTTCATGCCAGTGGTTTCCTCTACCAAATGGTTTTTTATATTCAATGATCCAAAAGCCAAATTCAATCATGTGTTTTCTCCATCTTTCAGCCACTTGTGTGACAGTAAAGATGTAGCTTGCTGTGGAATATGGCTTTGGAAAGCCAGTCACTTCCTTTTGAAAACTAAATTAAGGTAGTACTTTATCTGATACCCGGCAACTCCAACTCAAAGGCAGAAGGTAAGGATGATGAAAAAAATGTTGGAAAACAGTGAATAAGGAAGTAAGGAATGAGAGAGGCTAGAACATAGAGAGCACAGACAAGTCTCGTGCCTAAACTTGCCATACACTTTCCTCAAGATGTAATTAGAACTTTTACAGTGGAGGGGAAATGAGGGAAGGTGAGAGGGAATGAGTGAATCTTATTCTCATAGGATTTGGCTTAAGGAGGGAATAACATACACAATGGGGTACGGAAATCTGTCTTACCCTACAGGAAAATAAGGGGGGAAGGGGACAAGAGAGCAGGGAGTTAATAGAAGGGAGGACAGATTGGGGGAGGGGATAATCAGAAGTAAACACTTCTGAGGAGGGACAGGGTCAAAAGAGAGAGTAGAATAAATGGGGGGTAGGATAGGATGAAGGGAAAAATTAGTTTTTCACAACTTGACTACTATGGAAGTGTTTTGCATAACTGCACATGTATAGCCTATATTGAGTTGCTTGCCTTTTCAATGAGGGTGGGTGGGGAGGGAGGAAGGGAGAAAATTTGGAACCCAAAGTTTTAAAAATACATGTTAAAAATAAAAAAAATTTTAAAAGGATAAAAAAAGAATGTAATTAGAAGATGCAGGCCACATCAAGCACTAGATATCATAACGTCCCCACAAACACACACCCAGGCACAGAAACGAATTACACTTTAACCCTCTACTTTAGCAACTTCTTACTGAACTGGCAGTGAGCCCTGAATCAGTCATCGGTCCACTAGTAAGCAGTAGCCAGATCACTGTTGTTAGAGAACAGATTAAAAAAGAATACAAAGCTAGAAGAAAAAAAATAAAAATGAGAAAAAGATATGGTATGAAACTACAGTGATTCCAGCCAAACCTCTTTTAATCCAGGGAGGTAGTGGGAGTAGATAACAATGTAAATGGTCATAGAAACAAAGATGGGTTCCACATAATCCCCTCTGCTGTCCCTGTTGTGAATGCCAGGACTCAGTGGTTTCTGAATGCTGTTTGTGTATTTGTTAAGTGGAGAGCTCGCCTTGATAGGAAATCTTACATTAAATAGAATTAAACGGACTCACTGCTCACATATGAAGAGGCAGAAGAGCCACACAAGAAACATCCAAGAGTTTTTTTTCCCCCCAGGGGATTAAGGAGGAGGAGACCCCTCTATTCTCCCTATATGGCTTCTGTCAATCATGAAGAACTATTCTCCTTTAAAATGGAGCTGGCTGGAATCAGGGATGTGCTAAAGCCAGAGAGTGGATTGTTCAATTTTCATTGTGAGAATTTACACCTTGGAAACAGGTCAATGCCACAATTTAGAGCTTGTTTTATTGTTTTGTTGATTGTCTAGACTTAAGAGAATAATGGAGAAAAATGTAATAACAGATTTAACCGAAAAACATGTCCTGCTTACTTTTTCCCCCCTGGAGAATCAGTTGTTACACTCATTCATCTTTATCTATATATGTACCTACTGTCATCTGTCTTATCAATCTGGGTGTCCCATACATCCACACATCCATCCACCCACCCATCCACCTATCCATCTATCCATCCATCCTATCCTATTCTTTCCCATCTATCTATCTATCTATCTATCTATCTATCTATCTATCTATCTATC